CAACCTGAAGGATTTGTGGAAGGAAACTCGAAATCTCATGTCTGCCTGCTCCAGAAAGCCATCTATGGCAGCAAACAAGGTGGCAATCGCTGGAACAAGACAATGCGCTCTGTATTGGAGTCCCTGCACTTCAAACAAACCGATTCTGATGCCAGCATCTATATCTACTCCAAGGATGGTGTCTCCATCATCTTGCCTATTTTTGTGGATGATATGACTCTTGCTTCATCTTCTGAGGCTGCCATTGACTCCATCATCTCCAAACTCAGCCAGCACTTCAAACTGCAAGATCTAGGACCTACCACCCAACTCCTGGGCATCAAAATTGACAGAGATCGCCCCAATCGCTCGATTTCGCTTTCCCAGCAGCAATACTGCCTGTATTTACTGGAAAGGTTTGGCATGGCTGACTGCAAGCCACTATCTACACCCATGGAGCCAAATCTTCGCCTCTCTCGCCCCCAGTCTCCCCAGGATGCCTCAGAAATCAAGCAAATGCGCCAAGTACCCTATCTCTCTGCTGTAGGTGCTCTGATGTACCTTGCCACCACTACCTGCCCAGACATTGCCTATACTGTTGGAGTTCTGGCCAGATTCAACTCCAATCCTGGCTGGGCTCATTGGCAGGCTGTGAAGCACCTAATGTGCTATATCAAGGGTACTCTGGACTATTCTCTGACCTATTCTCCTGATCCTTCAACCTCTGAGCCCTTCACCACCTTCTCTGATGCAGATCATGGTGGCTGCAAGGATACTGGTTGCTCTACAGGTGGATATGTTGTCAAGATGGGCACTGGTGCAATCTCCTGGTGTTCCAAGCTTTAAAACGTCGTTGCTCTATCTACCACTGAGGCAGAATACATAGCAGCTGTCCAGGCAGGCAAGGAGATCAAGTGGCTTCGAAATTTACTCTCTGAAATCGCTTCTCCACTGTCTTCTCCCTCTGTGCTGCACATGGACAACCAATCTGCCATCTCTGTGGCCAAGAATCCTGAACACCATGGCAGAATGAAGCAACTTGAACTCTGCTTCTACTGGCTTAGAGATGCAGTCCAGGACAACCTCATTGTGACCACTGTTGTCCCCACTGATGCCCAGGCTGCTGATCTGATGACCAAACCACTGTCCAAGGCCAAGGTGATCAACTTCTGTCAGATGCTAGGACTAGGTGCATCAAGTGGGAGTTCTTAATGTGCAGAGGTGCACAATCAGGGGGGAGTGTTGCTATTAGTGCCTGTGCACCTCAGACTAATTGCCAGGTTCCCCACCTTCCATATTAATGATGTGTTCACTTATTTTCATCAGTTGTTCTTTGTCTGTTCAGTGTTTGCATTTTTACTGTGCACAGAGTCTCTTGTTCTTTAGTTACTGACTCTGTGCACATAGAGTGCTGAGTATTGGGATATCCTTAACACTAACAATGGTCCAGAGCCCTGTTGTGTGCAGGAAAGCCTTCATTTCGCCTTTCCAGGTCGAGTAGTTGGAGGCAGTGAGTTTAGCAACAGAGGGCAACAAGTTGGTATGGTCCTCAGCCATGGTGGCAATTTTCAAGTCAAAAGGAGAAGGACAGGGTGGATGGGGTGAGTCTGGAAGCTGGGCACTCAAAGATTGAGCTGTAGCAAGTGAGTGTGTGGTTCCTTTGGTTCGAGGTTTGCGCAGAGGTGGATTATGTCGCAACCAACCAGTGCTGAGAATCCTAGAGTGCGGGGCTCATAACCTGTTGAGATACCCACAAATCGAGGCCACTGGTGCCCAGTGTAAGAGACTGATATTGAGTAAAGTAATACAGGACTGTACCTGGTGCCCAGTGTAAGAGACTGAAGAAGATTTCACTGGGCACAGAGCAGTAAGTGCGCAAAAATGATAAACAAATGTAAATAATAAATAATAGCAAACCAAGGACACTTAGAGCGAAGCTAAGTGTCCACTACATGTCTGTAGGGTTAGACAGAGATAAACCAAAGGGGAAATGCAGTCTGAGGTGCACAGGCACCTAATATGAACAGAACCATGCCTGGCTGGAAAGATGCATGCAAACCCCTTCCCCACTGCTTCCTGGCATGCTTCTAGGCCTCTGGAACTCGTCCACAGTGATGTACACCATGTAGGCCATCCCACCTTCTCTGGCTACAAGTATTGGGTCACATTCATTGATGGCCCAGGGACTGGTTGATGTCTTCAATGCTGTGAATGAGCTCAAACTCAGTGAGGATGGCTTGCATTCATGTCCAAGTGGTTCATGGAAGCGCAAGAACCAATGGTGACAGTGGTCACAAGATATCATTCCAGCACTTCTCAAGCCCTACATGTGCTATCTCAAGGCATCCCAATCCCTCCACATGGTGGTAGACCCCCCAGTCATCCATTGATGTTGCACTTGCACAGTGTATCAACTCACTGTTTGCTGTCTCTTCTCTGACCATATGTGATCTGTTTGTTGTTTGCTCTTGTGATGCTCATGTATACCCAGGTTTGGAGGATGTTGGGATAAGCTACTGTGCATGCACCCCAGCTCCTATATGATGGGTTATTTGCATCATCTCCTGTGGTACCTACTCTGTGTTATGATAACCACAAACTGAGGCCACTGGTGCCCAGTGTAAGAGACTATTATTGAGTAAAGTAATACAGGACTGTACCTGGTGCCCAGTGTAGGAGACTGAAGAAAATTTCACTGGGCACAGAGCAGTAGGTGCACAAAAATGATAAACAAATGTAAATAACAAATAAAAGCAAACCAAGGACACTTAGAGCGAAGCTAAGTGTCCACTACACATCTGTAGGGTTAGACAGAGATAAAATAAAGGGAAAATACAGTCTGAGGTGTACAGGCACCTAATATGAACACTCTGGCAGTTGACCTTCATGTACTGGAGTTTATAAAGAAGCTCTTTGTCTGGCTAACCCCAAACACAACTGTGTGGTGTGAAGCACTTGAAAGCTTCCTGAATGGTTGAGGGTATAGACTGCAGTTCAAGGTATGTTCTTTTCCAAACACCATCACTGGATCACTGCCTTTGTCTTCACATCCACCCTGTATGTTCCCATGATCATCTTGGAATAGGTCTGTTTGGGCTGGCTGCCCTGGGAACAGGTCCATTCAGGTTGGGGAAACTCCCAGGATGCATTGGGAACAGGTCTATTTAGGCTGGAGATTCCCCCAGGATGCCCAGGGCACAGGTCCATTTAGACTGGGGAATCCCCCAGGATGTCCAGGGAACAGGTTGATTTAGGCTGGGGAATCCCCCAGGATACCCAGGAAATAGGTCCATTAACTAACTGGGGAAAGCCCCATTTGGACCCAGGTGTTCAAATAACCCAACTGTTTGGCCTTGTGCCCAGTGTAAGAGACTGAAGAAAATATCACTGGGCAGAGAGCAGTAAGTGTGCAAAAATGATAAACAAATGTAAATAATAAACAAATGTAAACCAAGGACACTTAGAGCGAAGCTAAGTGCCCACTGCAAGTCTGTAGAGTGAGAACAGAACATAATAAAGGACAAACTGCGAAATGAGGTGCACAGGCACCACATATGAACACTTCCCCCTGATTGTGCAACTCTGAAGTCAAGTACTTCCCCCTGATGCACCAAGTGTTGCAAGTGTAGTACTCCAGCACTCAGCAACGCTAGTCCCTACTAGCACTTGGTGGTTAAACCACACCAAGTAAGCCTAGATACCTTGACCAAATAGCTCTGTGGTTAGAGCACCCAGTTGACACCTGGGAGGTCCAGGGTTCAATCCCCTGTCTGGTCGCATTTATTGCAACAGAGTGTTGATTGGCAAATTCTTTATCTATAAAACTATGTGTGGAACCAGAGTCCACTAGAGTATGGAGCTGGGGCAAATCATGACTGACAATAGAAATGTAGGGAGTTAATGAATTTGGATTAGAAAGAGTGGACATGTTGAGATGAGCCTCTGTGAGTGCACAGCTGGAGTCAATGCAACTCTCAGTCTGTGTGGAGTCCTGAGAGCTGCTACCTATTTTTTTGCCTTGGGGGCAGAGCCTGAGGTTGAGGCCAGTGCTGCCTCAGAGGTGGCCACAGTGTGAGCTTTGGCTTTCCCAGCTTTCTTTGGGCACTTATCTGCAAAATGTCCAGTCTCCCCACAGAACATGCAGAGGTTGTTATCTCTATGGTGTTTGTGCTCCTCCAGTGTCAACTTGCCATCTTTGCCCAACTTGCTTGAGTCCAGCTTGGGTGTGTTAGAGCCAATCTGACCAGTTGAGGCAGATTTTAGCTGAAGACTGGTTACCAGAGTTGCCATTTCCAGAGCTATTGCCAGTCTTGGATTTCTCTTGACCAGGCTTAGACTGGTTGTTGTAACCAGGGTTGGGAGTTGACTTGTTACCAGAGGACGACCCCTGGTGCTTACTGGACCACTGAACCTCCTCTTTGCATTCCCAGTAGCATGCATCAATGTCCTGGGCTAAGTGGCAAAGCTCAGGCAGGGTTCTAGGTTTGCAAACCCAGCAGACCCCATCTTTGATACAGTCAGAGAGACTGGTGTAGAAGAAGTGGCACAGAGTGCCATCACCATATCTGCAGACTTGTGAGGCAAGTAGAAATTGAAAGTATCACTGTATATGTACCTTCACCATGTGCTTCATTAAGGTCATTTGAAAGTGCAGCCAGTGCTGTGACAGTTCCCTGCTCCTCAACAGAGGCCTTCAGCATAATTTCAGATACTTTGCATCCCAAAGAACCCTCAGGTCTTTGTTGGAGAGAGTATACCTGCACAAAGCATTCAAAAATCAAATATATGAGCTGCTTCTTACCAATCAGCTCAACTGGCACATCCTATGAAACTCATTGAAAAATGTGGTCTCCAATTCTCTGTCACCATGATTGTTTGTTTTGAATGATTTGAGGATCTTGTTAAGGCACTCAAAAAGAAATGTCCAAAACCTGCTTAGTGGACCAAAGTTATGAATGTATTGAGCCATGTGCATTGCATAGTGATGGTTTGGTTTCAAGCACCCCAAGCCATACAGCTAGTCAAATGTCAGCAGTGAACATCTGCCATGACACAAAAACTTACTTGGATGAGCTCCATACAATACTCTTGCAGATGTGCATCTGTGGCTGAAATCTCCTGATCACTGATCAAGTTCCCAATTAAGAGGCAGATGGCAGCACATAGCTTGAGGAAATTGGGGGGATCATCAGGGTGAAGAATGCATTTGCTGTCTATGTCATCTTGTTGGTTTTCATCTGGCACATCTGCCATGGTTGTGTCCATGATGCACTCCCCAGGGATGTGACTTGTGTTTGCTTTCAATTTTGCAAGCTGTAATCCCACACGTTGTGACTAGAAAACAGCAAAAAAAAAAAGGAACCTCACTCACCTGCCTGAGCTCAGCATCTTGAGCCTTTTTGGCATTCTTCTCTGCTGTGAGTCTAACCTTCTCCATCTTTTTGGCCTCATTGGCAGTGGCTTTCTCTGTGGTTATGCAAGCCTTCTCAGCAGCAACAGCCTCTCTTCCTTGAGAACACATGTCTTTGAGTGCCTGAGCATCTGACTGTTTCTTCACCTCCTTGGATTTTTTCTTGGATTCCTGTTTGGCAATCAGTGCCACACAGTCAGCAAGAGAGCCATCTTGTTGTGCATTTGCCAGGCCAATGGTCCATAGCTGTGGTATCTGCTTTTGTTAGATTACACATACACCCTACATTGGTGGATGACTTACTGCAATTGGGCCATACACAGTTGCAAGTAGTAACCACTGGTCAGCGGTCAAAGAGCCACCAGCTGGTGCACCTATGTCCACAGGAAGCTTTCCACAGGAACTTGGAATTTCAAACTAGAAATGTCAATGAAAGTAATGTTAATTGCAGTAAAACAGTCACCTACATTGGCAAGGAGGTCATGGAGTATGTGGAGTTCAAAATCTGCATTGTCATCTAATTTGAATTTGATGTCCAGGATCTCATCATCCAACTCTGCCAATTGCCCCTGGGAGGGTGGGTCTTCTGATGGCACCTGCTGCTGGATCTCTGCAAATGCATTATCCATCACATGCTTGAGGGCACATCCCTCAGGGTCAGGCAGTAGGTGATGTGCATGATATGCAGTCAGGGGCTGAGCACCTGCAACCATGACTCCATTATATGCCTCATAATAGTCAGCAGCAGCAAGGAGGGATTGTGGAGAATGGAAGTTGGGCCCTAGGTTTGGTAGCTCACTGCCATAGACCTGTATATCAATATCTTCTTGAGTAAGCATACTGTGGTCAAGTGTTTCCTGCTCAACAGCTGAGGTGGAGCTTGGGGGGGGGGGGATCTGGAAAATGTGATATGGGGGATAAAATAGCACCCCTCGTTGGATAAGGCCAGATGAGAGAGGGTGGGTTGCTTGGAACATGGGGGACAATCAAACCATGATGGATGGTCTGTGAAGTGCATGTCCTCTCCCACTGGTCTGCATGTTCATGTGTATGTCTCATATCATAGTCAACTAGTTTGCCCTTGCAGTTGTGACTCTTGCAGTTGCACAGAAAAACCTTGGGCATGGCTCCAAGCTGGGGATGGTTAGAGAGATGTGTGTACCATAAGTCAGTGGCCAGGCATCAATGCATATATGTACCTTATAGGTCACAAAATATCTGTTGGGTTACAGCAAACTAAATTCAAGTATTTGTTCTGTTTATCTACAACAAATGAGTGCATGCAATTAATTCTCTTCACCCTTGAGCCATTTGGGTGTTTTTGATGCAAGTGGAGTGGGGGAATGCAGATGCTTGGAATGGGTATCAAGCTGGGTGGACTCAGGCAGCAAATCTCCATATAGTGCTTCTATACACCTCATGAGAACAAAGGTGCTAACTGATTCTTGCGAGCACAACAATTGCTGTGATGATAGTAATTGGTGGTGGAACATTGCGAGGCCATTGCCCTGTGTTAATCTGTTGGTGGATGAGCAGACAGAGAGAATGAAAAACTGAACATGGGCAAAAGCAGTCTTGATATTCTCATTCTTGCTCTCTGGCTTGGTAATGCTGTCATCAACACCTGGTGGAATGAACATCAGCACCTTGAGACAGGCATCACTGTTAGACCTACCAGCCCTGTCATTTGATGTAGCTTTCACCAGGGTATTGAAGAGTGATGAGGTGAGAGATTTCTTGCCACAGTCAGAGGTGCATATGGGTTCAAGTTCACTGTGATCCCAAGACTTGAAGATCTCGGAGAGTTCTGGAGCTTGTGTCAGAAATATTGGCTAGATTGTAGTAAAAATAACAAATGCTATTGGTGGTGAGCTCACCTGCATCCTGCTTGACATCTAACATGGGATCAGTTTGTACTTGAGCACCTTTGCATTGGACAGGAAGTACAGTCATTATCTCAAGAGTCTTAGAAAATAAAAATGAGTCTCTATCATAGATATCATTGGGCAAATCACATACCAAAATGCCAGATGTTGGTGGTGTGAAGCTGACATGATAGGTTCCAGGGTGTGTGATAGGAAGCTGGAGTGATATCAGGTTGGCCATGGTATGGGTTGGTGAGAGCCTTGGAGAAATTTTTCACAAAGTGTTGATGAGCTGTCTGGAATGTGTCATGATGTATAGGCAGGTGGGTGAAAGTGTGTCCCAACATCAAGAAATGATTGCATCAGTCTGTCTGGAGGCAATTAGCATGTGGGCAAGTAAGAAGTCAGCAGGGTACAAACAGATGACATGTCAATCTGTTTGGCTTACAGATTTGGTATGGACACATGATGTGCCATGAAATCATATGTCTAGATATTCCTCAAGGTTCTCCAAGAGTTCTCATAGTCTGGATTTAGTACAGGAAGATCCTCAGATATTTCCAAACTGCAGATTTCATATGGGCATCTAGCTAGGTATGTTTTTAGTACAGGTAGCTAGTCTGGCACAATCTAAAATGTCTCTAGACAGAAACTCATTTCTGCAGTGATTCACTGCAGTGAATGCAACAAGTCACTCAGCAAATGTAGAATGGTCAGGAGAGAGATGCCACTGGGCCCATTTGGTTTTCCTAATGCTGTTTCTTGTGCCATGAAACTTTCTGGAAAGGTTTTGATAAGGAGAGAGTAAGTTTTGGAGTGAATGTTCTGAATCATTGTTGGAAAGCCATAGAAGCTGAGTGCTTCCATGATTTGTACTTTGCAGCAGAATTGCTTTGCAGGTTCAGGATTGACAATGTCATTTGATCTAGCAAGAAATGTGAGCCTGCAAATTATGAAGAAACATTGCAGGTCATTTAAGTGCTGTTTCCAGTGAAGAAGGTCTCCATCAAGTGGTATGTCTTCTGTCATCCAGAAAGTACTTTCAGCTATCTTATGCATACTCCAAATCTGAAAGATGGGTTTGGTGATGTAGGGAAATTTTACAGGGAGCACTGTACTTTTGGATATTGAATGGGAAAAAGTACAAAGCATCAATCAGATTTTTTCAGTAGAACTTCTGTGTCTTCAATGTCAAAGGGCATTGAAAGTAGTGGAAAGCAGGAGCATAGTGCTAACCTTTCATAAGTTGGACATTGTCTACCAAAGGGGGGGGATGGACAAGAAGGCTTCATTAATGCAGGGTGAATATTATGTGGAGTAGACAGTGGAGCAGTAAGAAAGGCATGTGGGGTGTTTTGCAAACCTATGACAAAAAAGTGATGTCATATACCCCACCATTGTTGCATGTCATAATTCAAATAACATGAAATTTGTAGCAGTTAGAAGCAAATTCAGTGGACAAGGTGAGCAACAATATTTGTACAATAAGTTCATTAGCAATGTGTGACAGACTACACAGAGGGATTAACTCAGAACCAAAATCTCAATGGTTGGGCTTGGAAGAAATGATGAAGTGACATCAGGATTTTGGTCTTGAAGTATGATCAAGGTGGTCAGATGAAAAGCAGTGTTTATTGGTAGAACTTACTAGACTATGGAGAGTGATTAACTGCAACCAGGGATGTCATCAGTACCCAAATTTCAGTCTCAAAATATAATCAAGCCTGTGAGGCAGGAAATAGTGTTCACTGGTAGAACTTACTAGATGATGAGAATCATGCATGGCAAGCATTTTACAATTTTCTTTATACAAACATAGGGAAAAAAATCTTTGAAAAGATACTTTGTTTTATCTCATGTTCTCTGCTGAAACAACTGGCAATAATGTTGAATTTTGAAAGGTTTTTCTGACAGAAAACATGACACAGTGGATTTCCAATGTTTTATGGGTGAAATACAATTACCATGACCCACCACCAAAAACCAAAAACAATCATCAAAAAAATTATTAGTACTGTTTTCTACATGTTATGCAATACATTAATCAAATACTTTACCACAAAATGATTTAAACACACTGATCATTGAAGAACATGTAATGTTACATAGAACATCAAAAGTAAATGATGTATGTTTTGTATGTGATAATAATAAAAACATTTGGCCAAGTCTTTTAATGTTCACCTGAAAAAAAAAAACAGAACAGCAGTTCAATGTTTTCTCTAAAAACATGACATGCTAAACTACAATTTTTATGTACAAGAACATGGTACTGAGAGCATGTCAAATGTTCTAGGTCAAATTACAGTATCTTATCTCCCAGAAAACATGATAAATAAATAATGTATTAAAATATCCTGTTCTACCACAGAATATCGGTGAAGTAGGCATGTTATATGTAGAGGTGTTGTGAAGGTTCTGAGCTGTTTATGTTCATTTGTGGGCATGACTGCCTTGTGCACAGATCCAAGTTTGTCTCTCTTTGACATTGTTTTATAGGTGACAAGCTGACCACTTCCTTCCAGCATCTCTGCCCTAGCTGCATCATCAGGCCTCTTGCTGTTCTGCTTTGCTGTGCACTTAGTCCCTCAGTAGCTTGTCAGCATACTGAGGTCTATCTACAAGGGTTATTCCATGAGATAAGATCATGTGATGGCATGTGATGGGGTGGTTGAGCAAGGACAAGCAGTGATAGCATTGATGGTTACAGATGCCACTTATCATGTTCTGTGGTACAACAGGACACTTTAATACACTCTTTATCTATCATGTTCTCTGGGAGACAAAACAGTGTGATTTGATTGAAAATATTTAGCATGTTAATATGGAATCTCAGTAGCATGTTTTTGCACATAACAAATATTGTTTTAAATGTCATGTTTATGAAGTAAACATTGAGCCAATAATCTGATGTTTTGTGGGTCAACATTGAGAGACTTGGTTAAGGTTTATTAGAATTATCACATACAAAACATTGATCATTTACTTGTGATGTTCTATGTAACATCACACATTCTCTAATGACTAATGTGTTTAAATTATTTCATGTTACAACATTTGATTAATCAATTACATAACATGCAGAAAACAGTACTTATATTTTTTTTGATGATTGTTTTTGGTTTTTGGTGGTGGGTCATAGTAATTGTTTTTCACCAGCAAAACATTGGAAATCTACTGTGCCATGTTTTCTGTCAGAAAAGCCATTCAATACATAAGATTATTTCCACTTGTTCAAGCAGAGAGTATGTGATAAAATAGAGTATCTTTTAAAAGAATTTTTTTTGCATGTTTGTGCAAAGAAAATTGTAAAATGCTTGCTGTGATGGAGGACACAAATGGAGGCATTTTCTGACAATCATATCCTCCTAGATCCACTTTAAATTTGAAATGCCTACTTGCCATACATGGCATTCTGTTGTGGAGATGGAAGACAATGATGGATGTAGTTGCATCCACATGCATGAATGGTCATGAATACTTTGAAAATCATCTTTACAATGTGAGTCAAAGTGTGGAAAGGTGGTGAAAACCAACCAAAGCCAACACCAAAGATTAATATGAATGAGTGGTGGTTTACCTCTGTGGAACCTGGAGGGCAGAGAAACCTAAAGTGGGGGAAATTTTGATGGCAGGTGCTCCTAGCACAAGTTGACAATGAGTTATGCAGGAGAAGATGAATGAATGCTGATTGAGAAGGGGATGCTGAACAGAGTGAAGGTGTTCAGCCAAAAGTACTTGGGAGTAATGGACTTTGATAGAATATGCTCCTGGCACAAGTCAATGATGAGTTATGCAGGAGTGGATGGATGACTAAGCAGACTTGCTGTCTAAGTGTGGATGAAGCTTCAGATAATGATGGAGGTAGATAGACCCCTTTGTAGAGCCTCAACTACAAATGATATGAATGAAGACAGATAGACTCTTCCAAATGAGCCTCAACTGTCAACAATGAGTTATGCTGAGCTGAGCTGAACTGACTGCTGAGTGAATGGCTTCTGGTTCACTGGGGGTGTAGCTAAGTATGTGGGGGTTTATATACTGTGGGGGGAGCACAGCCTATGACAAACAAGGCACAAACACTTGGTAAGTAATGAGTAAGGACTGAGTAATCATGATGAGTAAGCAAGAAATGAAAAGTAAGCAAGCAAAGAAGATTGGTAAGTATTGGCAACAAATGAGTCAAGGACAGTCAAAACATCACAGAATGAGTCAAATGGAGTCAGAAACTGAGTAAGTGCACTGATATCACATTAGGGGGTGGCGATGCAAGTCAGATCTTGGCAGAGACATCTCTAGACCCAAAGATGGCATGACAGATGGATGGTGTTTCCAGATAGGGAAGTATTAATTCCAGAATTGAAGGGCATGAGTCAGGCATCAAAGGGGCTAGGGAATTGGGGGTCTGTGGGGCAATGGGAGCATAAGTGATTATGTCTCCCACCCTTTCATCCTCTCAGTGAAGTTAACAGAAGCTTCATGAATGGGGCTCTGACAGAGGAGGAGGAGAAGGGGGGACATCTTCTGCTGGATCTTGCAGTAAGAAGGCAAGATGCATGTCATACTCATCATGGATGCAATCAGGGAGGCTGGAGAACAGTAGATTATGCTGCAGCTGTCACATTGTGGGGAGAATGATGGACAAGATTGGAATAAAGATGGTGCAGGGAGCAGGGAGGAATGATCCATATGCTTCATCAAGAGGGGAGACCAAAATGACCACATAAGACCTTTCTAACCAAGTGACAGACCTGAGGCAACCAAAGAATGTCCTTCTGGAAGTCATACTGACAAGGAGAACATGTTGACCAAGCTGCATGGGATGAGACAGGGCTGACAATGATGGGATAAACCAGGGGGCTTCAGGATGGAAGCTGGTGGGAATGCCTGGCAGATATACATAGCCACTGTCTCTGGAAAATGAGACAAGTGAGACAATTGACGAAGAGGTGGCCATAATTGATGGACTTAGCAAAATGAGTGTCTGATGGATGGAGTGCTGTAGAAACCTGCAGGGTGCAAGGATCCATTTGGAAGGCAGAACCATGTGGCTGAGCACTTTAAGCGAGTGTGAGAATGGAGTCGATATCTTTGGAAATGGTGGAGATATGACAAAAACCAGAATGCCATACACAGGTGCTAAAAACCTTTAATGTGTGCTTAACATGGGCATTGTGCACAACTCATTGACAAGTTAGGCAGAGTCAGCTGTAACCATGTCCACAACACCTTTGGTGTGTGACAACAACAACAATGGTCTTGGTGGACTTGAATGCAATGCATTTCAAGTAATGAATTCCTCTTTCATGATATTTTATGAAGGCTTCCATAGTTGACCATTTTAATGCCTGACTGAAAATGATGAAGGGATTAATGTAAGAGCATTGTCAAAGAGTTAAATCATGGATAAGCACAGAAGATGGAACCATGGGAAATGAAGTTCATCAGTGCCATGCTGTGATAGCAGAAGATGGGGGAGATGGCAGTGGGAGAAGAAGAAATGATGACATCACTTTTGTGGTCATTGTGTGTAAGGCAGAACACTGAGGCTATGTGTGAATTGTAGTAGCATATGGCATTTGCTGTGTTGATGTGGATCATACAATAACGTTGTATTTTTAATGCTGCTAGAAGGAATTCAATGTTTCTCTGCACAACATAGATGTCAAGGTTGTGAGGAGTCCACATTGTTTCCTTTTCAGCTAACAGAAAGTGAAGTGGCATCAACCCCAAGATTACTGCTTGACATAGATACAGGGCATTCCCCATCTTTTTCCTGGGAGGGGGAGGGGGGCTAAGTGAGGTGTTCTTGGGGCAAAAATCATTCTTTTCAACCAGAGATCACTGGAAGACACATAATGGGTATTTGAAAAAAGAGCAGCATGGTGCCCATCAATGGTGGTGACATAAGTTGGCTGTCATAGAATCAAACTAAAGCAATGACATTGTAATGTAGATGAAAGTTGACATCACCTGTTTGATACTACAAGGAAGAGCTGGAGAACAATGGAAATAAGATATTGATGTTGATGATGTTGATGATGCAACACCAGACTGTAACTCAAAGAGGTCTCCATCATGTGACATGTTGATGTGATTGCAATGAATACTGTTTGATGAAGGTGAGTTAGGAAAGTATTAATTGCAG